ATTATATGGTGAGTTCACTTTAAATATAATTTGTAAAAAATAATATATTAAAGTCAAATTTGTTAACCACTATATAGATTGTCTGAAAACTTTTGCATATATAAATTATACTGTCTAGGAATAGCGATGCACATACTTAACTATGGTTTAATAATCTTAAGAATGACTTATTCTTTAATATCATTATTATTTGATGTATATGTGCATTACACAGAAAACACAATAAAAATTTAGAAAACTACAAAATAAACACCCTCAAAAGTTTTAAAAAGTGTAAAAAAACACCCTAAAATTTGTAATTTATAAATACACAAAACTATTAAACATTATATTAATATTAAGGAATTATAAAATAATTATTAAAAATTTTCAAACTTTGGAGGGGTAATTTGCAATGTACTATACTTTAAGGGTGTTTTTTTTTTAAATTTCAAATTTAATAGATTTTTAATTAGTTATGTTCTTTTCAAAAAAGTTATGGATAATATTTATCATGAAAAGTTTTTTCTAAACCAATACTTTTAAAAGGTGTGACATTTTTTACAAAATTTTAATTTTTAGGGGTTGTTAGTAATGTTGTATTTTCATTTTAGTGTCGATTGGTTAGAAATTCTCATGATGTTTTTTTTGTAAATTTTGAATTTTAAGGATTTTTTGTAATTTTTTAAACTTGTATGCCTTTTCTACAGATTATAAATTGTTTATAGACTATTTATCATTCATATGCTTTCAATTTACTAATGAATTTGAAATTTTTAGGGTGTTTTTTGTAAATTTTAAATATTTGTTTGTAATTTTTAAAAATTTAAGGGTGTTTCTATAAATTATAAATTATGTAGGAGATATTTATAATTCTTATATTTTTAATGTACTGTTGGTCAGAAATTATCAAGTTTTTTTTTATAAATTTTACAATTTTGAGGATTTTATTTCGTAATTTATAAAAAGTTTAGAGTGTGTATTATAAATTCCATAAATATTTGGGAGTTGTTTGTGTTATTTATAGGTTTTTAGTATATTTATAGGTTTGAAATTTCAAGGTGTTTTTTATCAATTTTGAATTTTAGGGGTGTTTTTATAATTTTTAAAACTTTCAATATATTTCTCTAAAGTAAAAAAACTTTCAGTTTCTAGTTAGCATATACTTTTTAGATTTCTCAATGAATTGAGATAAGTAAAATTTATAATTTTCAATATGTTTTAATAAAATTTTGAATTTATAGGGGTGTTTTTGTAATTTAAAAAACTTGAAGAATATTTTTATAAAGTCCAAAAACTTGTAGGTGCTGGCTAGCATATAGTTTTTAGATTTCTCTATGAACTGAAAGAAGAAAATGATTTGAATGATATGAAACATATCTATTTTATCCAATAACATGTTAAGTCTCATTATGAATAGAATAAATCATTTGGTAACCAATTCAAAGAAGATAGAATAATTAGAATAAATTAGCATAACAATGTAATATTAAAAAAAACTAAGGGTAATATTGGCTATAGAAATATTTTTCCGAACTCGTACTTTTAAAGGGAGTATGATTTTTATGCAACCACCTTACATTTAATTTGTACCAAATTGATGAAACCACATTTTTATTAAAAACAAATTTGGTAGAAACCACCTTTAAATATGCTTTACATTTAGGGGTGCATTCGGTCCGGATACGGCTCGGATATGATGCTTACCATATCCATATCCGCTTACCAATTTCGGATACGGATATAGATATACCTTGGTAAGGAAAATTCATATCCATATCCGCTAAAATCAGATACGATTACAGATATATATACGGATATATAAACCGATATGCATGCAGATACAAAAAGGATATGAGAAAACTAGATAGTATTGAGAAAAACATAGTTCATGTGATACGAAAGAGGTTGTTAATATGTTCATTATAACTAAAAAGCTAAGATTAGACATCTTGATCATCAAAATTAATCACAAATTCATAATTTAAGAATCGAAACTATCGTAAGAGTATGACTAATATGTATTCAGATATTTCGGATACGGATACGGATATTTCACTACAACATTATATCCGTAACCATATCCTATCGGTTATAGATTTGATTAACCATATCCGTATCCTAACGGATATGGTTACGGAAATTTCCTCGGATACGGATACGGTTTAGCATCCCTATTTACATTGCAATGTTATATTTTGGGCTCATGTTGACGTAAAAATACCCTCATTAGCCATAATACCCTTAGTAAATGCATGTGCTAATCACGTGCATTAACTAGTAGTTAGGAAGCATGTATTTTAGCACATGCATAAGGGTATATGTGGTATTGTGAGCAAAATTCAATCAGACATACATGAGCCTAAAATGTGACGTTGCAGCAAAAAGCCTATTTCAAGGTAATTTCTACAAATTTTTTAAATATAAAACGGGCTAAAAATTACACTTAAAATGCCTTTATAGTTTTATCAACCTTGCACTTAAGTGACATCTATTTTAAAACTAAGCAAATAAATACCCTCAAAATATTTAAATATTACAGATAAATGCTCCAACGTTTCAAATTGTTGCACTTTGGTGCTCTCTTATTTACATAATGTTGCATAAAATATCTTTAGTTTGTAAATGCATATATTATATAAATACATTAAAATTTTAAAAGTTACACTTTAGTATCCTCTATCATGTGGTATTCTTCGATATGCAGAAAAACTGGATTCTTTTTAAGTTTAGACTATTTATCTGTAATATATAAATACTTTGCTGTATTTTTGCTCAGTTTGAAATGTAGGTCAGTTAAGTGCAAGGCTCGTGAAACTATTGGGCATTTAAGTGCAATTTAGCCTATAAAAGGTGATTTCTATCTATTTGATACAAATTAAAAGTGATTTTCAGGTAAAATCCCTTTTCTTTCCCCCTTGTTCTCCTCGTATTACTGTTATCTGTACTTGATACGTGTGATCGGAGTGTAATTTCGTGAAAGTAGTGTTTGTGTAATTGAATGGTTTTGACTTCCGTTGCTTGGGTTGGTTGATACTATGATGTGACGTATTTTTTGGTGATGATGGGAAAAAAAACCCTTGGTGATCATATTGGCATGTTCAGTTTAGATAGAATTGACTTCTACATTGAGCTGGACTTAGTCACCTTAAGAACATATTTAGTTTCCTTGAGTATTAACTTTTGTTTTCCCTTATACACGTATATAGGGGTGGAAGTGAACCAAACATTTAATAAACAGTTTGGCTAATATTCGTCCAGATATTCGGTCATATTCGATCCGATAGTTCATTTAATACTAAATGAATATTTTTCAGTATTCGGCTTAGAAACGAATAGAATTTAACTAAAGGTATATTCAATTCGGCTGATTATTAACTATTCGATAACTTTTTATATGCAAATCCTATTAATTAAACTTATTGTAAATATTACCCGTCAAAATTTTTATTACAACTTCTACCCATATATAAATAGACATGTTCAAATGACCTAGGGTTTCACATGTCCTTTGGATCATCAATGAACGGTTCAGATTTATTCCCAACAACTCCAAATGACCTAGGGTTTCACATGTCCTTTGGATCATCAATGAACGGTTCAGATTTATTCCCAACAACTCCTGGCCCAATATAAGTAGCTTTAACTCCCCAAGTGACCCATCTCATAAACCCTAGATCTGATCTGAGGCAGCCGACGTCCCCATCTGTCGACGACAACGCTCAAGTCCCCATCTCATAAATCGTAGATCTGAGGCAGCCGAACTCCCAAGTCCTCCCTACCCGCGACGACGCCCTCCTCCCGCTCCGACGACACCCTCCCTACCCGCGACGATGCCCTCTCCAACGACCTGTGCTCCTCCCTCTTCGACGCCCTCCTCCCCGCGACGACCTCCTCCCTCTCCAACGACGCCCTCGTCCCTCCCCGTGATGACGTCCTCCTCCCTCTCCGACGACGCCCTCGTCCCTCTCCGCGACAACGCCCACTTCCCTCGATCTCTGTAGATCTTGGAGATTTGTGCCGTGATTCTCTCCTTTTTCTCACTGGAAAGGTAAAAAAACTTTTGGAAAAACTATTTCCAGCTAATTATTTCCCCGTTTATTCTCTGCTTCCCTCGATCTCTTATTTCCCTGTTTATTTTCACGATTAAATAGTGTTAATTGAATGTTCGCGAATAGTTACCGAACACGAGCACAACTAAACGAAGCGAGTTCGAAGTCTAAATAGTATTCGAGTTGAATTCGAACACGAACACGAATAGTACTAATTGAGCCGAATTCGAATTCGAATAAGGCACTGTTTGTTCAAATTCGCTTCGTTTCCACCCCTATACACGTAGTGCAGATGTAGAATTTATTTCCAATACGTTTTTTAACGCCTAGTTCAGATTTTTTTTAGACCAAGAGAAGAACAAAGAGTCTAGTTGTGGAGTCTCAAAGATTTTAGATAATTCGTCTTATTTATAATGTAAAACTCTATAAGATAATCACGGATCATCATCGTTACTTGACGTTCATTTAGAGCGAGAAACCAATATGGATAGTTCTTTGGTCCAATATTCACATATAATTGTCCTTAGATCGTTTATTCTAAATAATTAATCAACATTGGTTTTTATGATTCACTTGTATTAGCACAAACTTTAAGTTAATTCCAAAATTATTATTTTTTAATGTGAGAATAAGTCTTTCATACTTCGAAAATTCTTCCAAGTATGACCGGTCTCAAGAGAGACATATGTAGGACTCTATCAAACGCATAATCCATTACAGTACACATAGATTTTGGCAATATTTTATCTTCGAGTTATAGTCAAAGAAAAGCATCTTCCTTGTAATTTTTTATTTCTAGTCAAATTCCTTCAGAAATTTAAACCAAACCGAAACTAGCCTACTCAAGCATCCCCTCGTCCCTTTTCCTCTACCTTTCTCTCCCCAGTTCTAATGGGCCGCAACAATACCAAATTCGGCCCATTTAATATGTTCTGCTCTTTTCTCAAAATTCTCATCGTCATCGGCATCATGGTCTTCATCCTCTGGATCATCTACAGGCCCAAAACAGTAAGGGCTCATGTAACCGCCGTTTTTCCCAGCGTCTTCACCCTCACAAGCAACTCCACTCTTGTTTACAACTTCACTCTCCACGTTAGCATCCAGAACCCCAATCGCAAGGTGGGCCTCTACTACGATGACATCTCAGCCGAAGCCCAATATGACAGTATTCCTTTTGGGCTGGTCTATAAATTTCCGCCCTTTTTTCAGCATAAAAGGAACATTACTGTCTTCCCGCTAGTGTTTGTGGGCCGGGCTTTTGGGCTGAGATCAGTTCAGAAGAAGTTTGAGAGGGAAAAGAGAGAGGGTTGGTTTTATGTTGAGTTGAAGATTTGTACAAAAATGAGGTTGAAGATTGAGTTTGTTAAAGTCGGGCGCTATAGCCCGGAGATTGATTGCGCCGTTAAGCTACCGGTGATGGCGAATGGTTCTGATGTGAAGTTTGAGAGGTCTGAGTGTGATGTGGATAAATTCTAAGTAATTTGTTCTTGTTTCTTGAATTTTAAAATTTTGTTAGGATGTGTGCGTGTGACTTTGTATGTGGAAGTATGCTTTGATTGTGTCAAGAAAATGATGGGTGAATGTTGTTAGTTGTGAGCGTCTTTCGTTGACTCTCCACTGTTTATATGTTGTTAAGTGTGTTGGTCTTTATCTAGGATTTGGTCTTATGTTAATTTCGTGAACTATTATTATTATTTTCTCTTTTTCTCCTGCATTCCAGGGGCAAAATTCTTTTTAAGTTTCTCTAACAAAGATTCTCTGATCACTAGTTTGAAGTTGGAACTTTAATTATAATGCAAGTATCATTTACATGCAACTGCGGATGCAATAACTATTATTGTCTGAAGAAGTTGTTGTGCGCGGTGGAAGTTCTCGAAGCGACACGAACAATAACTCGAGATAAATCACAACCAATAAGCAAATCATAATCACAGTAAGAACAACGAGTTTAACGTGGTTCGGCAAGTTGCCTACGTCCACGTGGCAAGGAGGGGGGAGTTCTTACTATTAGAAATCAAGAGAATACAAATAGAGTTACAAATCTCACCGATCAAACCCTAAAACAAAGCTTTAGATCTCTCACAAATCTCCCACAATTGGATGCATCAATTCTTTCCAAAAAACTGCTCAAAATCATCCTTGCTTAACCCTAACTAATCAGGATTAGAGTTATATATCAGCTCCAAAACGAACCGGGTTGAAAACCTAAAGCCCAGCCCAAACAGCCTGTGGTTGACCGTCACGGTCGACCACCGCGGTCGACAACGCGGTCGACAACGCAGGTATCCGTCCGACCGCGGGTGGCGAGCCGAACACTTCCTGACAGAAACAAATCGGCTACAGAAAACTTACGGTCGACCGCTGTGACGGTCGAAACAGAGCGCAAACGAACCAGAGCTCAAAAATCCTACAGGGTCCACGCGGTCGACCGCCTTTAGCTCCCAGCTCTTCCTGACCCTTGTGCACGTTCGCGGGCGACCGTCGCTGACTCACGGTCGACCGCCAGTCTGCCTGGCTGAATTTCTGGGTTGTTTTCTTCAGCTGTTTGCCAATTTTTCAATTCTCCACCTCGGCGAATGTTTCTACCAAAAACTGAGCCGACACCAAATCATCCAAAAGTCCCGCAACAAGTCCGGGAACCAAATTAGAGCTGAAACGTGATCTCCCCCATCTGAATCAACAGATCAAACCAGCTGCATCTGAAGGACTGCCTACGTATCCTCTTGTCCAAGGAATCAAGCCGAACGTAGTTCACTCAAGTGGCCTCCAAAGGCCTCAACACTGAAGAATGTTCAAAAGCTTCAAACAATGACCAAATTTCACTCCTGAAATATCTTTGGTCAATATATCTGCAGGGTTATCGTTCGTGTGGACCTTCTCCAATATGATGTATCCATCATCCAAAACGTCACGAACAAAGTGAAATCTGACAACGATGTGCTTCGTGGGCGCATGATAAACCTGGTTCTTCACCAAATAAATAGCTGACATGCTATCACAATATACCCGAATGGTCTCCTGTGCAATCTCCAAGTCCTCTAATAATCCACGCAACCACAAAGCCTTCTTCACAGCTTCAGTCACTGCCATATACTCCGCCACTGTAGTAGAGAGAGCCACTGTAGACTGAAGTGTACATCGCCAATATACAGGTGCACCTGCCAATGTAAAAGCATAAGCTGAAGTGGACCGGCGCTTGTCAAGATCTCCAGCATAATCTGAATCCACGTAACCAATATAATCCTGCCCTTTCTTCTCATCCTTTTGAAATACCAAACCAACATCCACAGTGTCTCGAACATACCGTAGAATCCACTTCACGGCCTCCAAATGACCCTTCCCGGGATCGTGCATGTATCTCGATACCATGCTCATAGCCTGTGACAAATCTGGCCTCATACACACCATCATATACATCAAGCTACCTACTGCACTGGCATATAGGACCTTCGATATATAATCTGTATCCTCAACTGAAACAGGCGACATCAACACTGAAAGCTTGATGTGGGGAGCCAATGGAGTGCTAACTGCTTTTGTATTTCCATCAAAGCTGAATTTCTTCAACATCTTTTGCAAATAGCTCTTCTGTGTAAGCTTCAAACTCCCTTCATCCTATCTCTCTCGATCTACATACCCAATATCTTCTTTGCCTCTCTAAGATCGTTCATCTCGAATTTGGATGACAGCTCCTCCTTCAACTTTCAAATAGCCGAAGAATTCCTAGAAGCAATAAGCATATCGTTAACATATAAAAGTAAATATATGTGCTCACCATCCTATAGCTTGTGCATATAAATACATGGGTCATATGGGCTCCTCGTGTACCCATGGCCAATCATAAAGCTGTTGAATCTCTTATACCACTGTCTCGACGATTGCTTCAAACCATAAAGAGACTTCTTCAGCTTGCAAACCAAGTCTTCCTTTCTTGCAGCTTTGAATCCTAAGGATTGTGTCATGTAGATCTCCTCATCTAAATCTCCGTGTAGAAAGGCTGTCTTCACATCTATCTGGACAAAATCCAAATTCAACTGTGCCACTAACACCAATAAAATCTGTATCGACGAATGCTTCATAATAGGTAAAAATACCTCATTGCAATTAATGCCCTCAAGCTGTGCATATCCCTTGGCAACCATTCTGGCTTTGAATTGAATATCCCTAATAGAAGATCCCTCCTTCTTCGCATATACCCACTTGCAACCTATAGCTCTTTTACCCTTAGGTAGATATGCAAGTGTCCAAGTGTCATTCTTCTGAAGAGACTGTATCTCCTCCTCCATAGCTTCCCTCCACCTGATCGAATTGGGGCTAGAATCTGCCTCCCTGAATGTGGATGGAACCATATCATCAACGACCTTCACTGATAATGCATATGCGACAATGACATCATTATACCTAGCTGGCCGACGAGTTTAACGTGCTCACCTCCTAGCTGGCCGACGAATCACGCTCGATGGATACAATATTCTCTGGAGTGGGTGGAGTCACATCATCCTCTACCTGCTGCGATATCTCAACTATCTGGTCTCCCCCACCTGCTGAGGGACTTGAGGTCTCATCATGTACGCCTCATCGAATGTGACATCTCTACTAATAACTATCTTCTTATCCTGTGTATCCCATAACTTGAATCCTTTAACTCCATCACTAAATCCCACAAAGACTGCTTTCCTCGCTCTCGGATTTAATTTACCATCACTGATATGGTAATAAGCTGGACACCCAAATATCCAAAGCGACTCATGTTAGACCCTAGAGGGGGGGTGATTAGGGTCTTATGCTAATCTAATCCCGATTAAATGCTAATTAAAATAAATTTGTTCTTGCAAAAAAGATACAAGATAGATATGAGTAAGAAAGATATGAATAAGCACAAATAAAAGTACGCTAAGCAAAACACAAACAAATGATATGTTTACGAGGTTCGGTCCTCACGACCTACGTCCCGGCTCCTCACCCCGAGGAGATATCCACTATCACAATTCGGTTTGGAAGCCGGAACTTCTACACACTCGGTTTACAAGATCACCGAAAAACTCTCACACTACACAATCACTAATTAATCACACTTTACACACTAAGTGTAGGAACCTAGTCCGTGTCCTCCTCCTCAAGTACTCGGATGCAACCTCTCCCTAGGTTCGTCAACCGACGCCATTCCTATTGGATTCGACCCCGTCTCTCGCCTCACACTTCTCTCAGTGTACAAGTGTATTACAAGTGATACTCACAAATAAAGATTAAATACAATGGTTTGTTCTCAATAACAAATGAGAACACAAATGAAGCTCACACTCACTAAATCACACACCACAACCCACACTATATAGTATGAAGATATTAAGCTCAATATGTATGTATGATAACAGTGAATGAAAAATAATACAACTCAATATAGCTAAGATATAAAAAATTAAGTAGAAAGCTATATGTAAAGATGAGTTAGAGAAAACTTCTCTATAGGCAAGAAGAACAGTGGATGATGAGATTAAAAATCATCTTCTTGTAGTGAGAAAACTTCTTTTGAAAACAGACTGATGAGATCAGCTTAAACAGCTCTTTTAAGCACACTTAAAATTTTGTTAAACACAAAACTTAGATATCTGAAAGAGAGCAGCAATGGGGTATTTATACCCACTCAAAATATCAGCAAAAACAAACTTAAAAAGACCAAAAGCCCACAAAGAACCGTTACAGAAAATGGCCGTTAAAAACCAATGATGAAATCGGCGGTCGACCGTGAAATCTCGCGGTTGACCGCGAGGCACAAAAAATCTGAGAACAGGATTTTGAAGCTGGCGGTCAACCGCGAAAGTCTATGAATGGTTCACGGTTGACCATCACGGTCGACCACGGGCATACAAAATACATGCTTAGAAAATTTACTGCTGGCGGTCGACTGCGACGGTCGACCGCAAACTGATACAGCTAATATGACATGTTTTTGGGCAGATTTAAAAATACTTTAAAAATAGCAAAACAATTTCAAAAATAATAAAACTTTGGAAAAAGTTTCTAAATGATAAAATGAACATGTTAGAAAAGGAATTTTTTAAAAAATAATTTTTGTTTGCAAAAACACACTGTTTTTGAAAAGAGTTCGTAAAACCTGTATTTTAAGAACATGAAAATTTTGATATGACTTATAAATGCGTATATATATCATGCATATTTTATATGTATATAATAAAGTATGAAAGAGCTGTAAACATGAAATAAAAGATATTGTAACAACGTTTGATGAAAAATCATTTACATGATAGAAAACGTCAAAAATCGTGTTAAGTGTACATATATTGAGCTTAAATATAAATATACAATATATATAAGTAAACTACTCTTATACCTAGGTAACTTCATACATATGAATTTGAATCTTTAACTCTTGATTTTCGTGTGTTGAAATACCTGTAAAGAGAAACATAAAAATAAAACTAGAGAATATATTAGCGATATACCTGTAAAGAGAA